AGTGAGCAAATAAATAAACAAGAAATAGGTAAATAGATAAATGTTGACTGCTTTCTTTTTTAGGATGGCCTCGAAGTGGTAACATTTCCATATTACCGTGTCATGCAATGTCTACACATTGTTCTATGCCTCTCATCCATCGGATTGCTGCTTTGGGTCCTTGGCAAGTATCGATCAAAACTAATGTTTCACTACAACATACGGGTAACTTTTATCAATTTTCACAAAAGCATTACTTTTTTATTGTTCTATCCTACTAACCGTAATTATCCTTGAGTTTTTGCATTTTCTTTACGGTTTCTTTCTAATACGTTTTTATATTAATTGTACATCCGATGAATCTTCCCTCCTTTATTGATTTCATATGCTTGAAAAAATATTCTATTTGTTCCACAGATTATAAAAACGAAAGGGCGAAAGTGGTGTAATGGCAAATAGCGCTCCTTAGCACACACACACGCACAGTCCAGGGATCAAATTCTAAGCCGAAGGCCTCAAGATGAACAAAGCCTTCATCCATGTGGATGCGGCCATTTCTAGGGTCGAGTTCTACCCAACCCAACCAACCTGCCGCCTGTCACGGTCTGTATATGGTTCCAGGATTGAATGGGGGCACTAAATCCCTGTTATCTCAGTAGATGGTACCAGCAGATCATGGGTTGGGTCAAGCCACATGGAACAATTTGGAATGGAATTGGGGTGCATGGCGCACCTCAAAAAAAATGTGAAACGTCTATAGTTGATCCTATCAATATGGTACTAATCTCCTTTTTAGGAAAAAGGTACCTACTCGCGGTGCGGAAATTTTAGGTTTTATGGTTGACAATTTTCCAATGACACCACGGCTATATTTACGGCGCATCAAATAATGCGTAATCGTAATTTCCGATGGGTGTTCACGGTCCCCCCCCCCCGAAAAAAAAGTCCTAAATTGGGTGGAATGGGAGGAAAGATCGTTAATTCTTATCCTCATATTTCGCTTGATCATCAAGCTTCGAAGTTTGCAGTTCATGTGATTTCCTGTATACCTTTCATAGAAAATGGTTATCGCTACTCTTTTTTCTATAAAATTTTTATCGTAATTTTAGAAGAATTTCAAATAATACTTTCCTATAATAATAAGTACTTTGATTTTGTGACTTCTTAACAGCCGCTCCCTTCAGATCAATAACAATTCATACAATACTGAATCAATATTCTGCCGTAGTTAATTGACCAGTTGAAATGATCAAGAAATTTCAGTAATACATCTACAACTGATATTGCTTTTAGGTTCTCTTTATGTCGCTCTTTATTGCTTCACTTCTTCATGCTTCTTTGATGACGATATTTAATGTAAGACATATTCTTTGATATTCTATGCATAAATGTTGGTTATCAGAAACACGGCCATTGAAAATGACAAATGAAACTCCACCCCTGCTTGGATCAATAAAATCAATATCTTCGGGTCTTCCTGTGAACCGCAGGGTCGTCTAGAGGAATTATATAACTTTTTAAACATGAACCTGTGGAACCCATCATGGACTTCATGTACGTTTTCTAATGGCAAGTAGACACATATGCAGCGATGTTATGTCGTGGGGGTATAGCTCAGTGGTAGAGCGCTCCCTTAGCATGGGAGAGGGCTGGGGTTCAATTCCCCATACCTCCAGGAGTTTTTGCCAGCTTTCGCTTTTACCAATTCCAATACATCAGAGTTCAAGTGTGTAGTACAGAGGAAGGGAGATGGAGCTACGTAGAGCGTTTTGTCCGTTGAAACAACTTTAAAACTTTTTAGAAGCGAAGACGGGAATTCCACTAGAACATTTTGGAAATTGCCATCGAAAGCGAAAAGGTCGTTGATTTGACCCATTTGACTGTAAAGCATGATTTTATTGCATCCCTATTTTTTAATCTCTTACATATGTAGAGACCGGTCAGAAAAATTTCTAGAGTGGATTACGCTTTGTACCGAAAACCGAACCGAAAACGTGAACCGAAAAATAACTTCCAGACATATCAGCTGTTTCTGTCGTTCACGTATGAAGCTCCGTGCGACGTTATTCTTCCTCGATTATTCTACATGAGTATTCATTTACCGTACACCTTTTCCGTATTGTGGATCGAAGGCGCTCAGGTTTGTGATCGTGATCATGAAGGGGTGTGGTGAAAGAGCTTTATTAGAAACTCACCAAGGCTAGTGTCAGGCGCCAGGGTTATAGGGTCATGTTAGGCAAAATAAAGTCATCCCCGGAGGAGATGAGACAAGTAGTTTTCCTACTTCCCCTTAATTTTGAAAAAAATAAAAATTCCGAAAATCTTGGTTCTCTACAAGTCGTGGGTAGCAGCGTAGTCGTGGGTGAATGACGAAGGGGGGGGATGAGGGGGGGGGGCGAGGAGGGCTCTATACCTACAGTAGCGGTCAAAAGTTTGGAAACCTTTTATTTTCAATCTAACGCCGCCATTAAGCAACGAAGACGCTTCAAATTCACATATTATGTACAAAATCGAGTGCGGAATACGATGCCGTACAGGATTTCACAAAACCGCGAATCAGTTTTGAAAATTTCAATTTTTTCAAAAAATGGCGCGTCAAAAGTTTGGAAACTCTGCAATTTTAAAACGAATTCAGCACAGTACTCGGCCAATCCGCATGTGAACTCAAAAATTTGTTGAGTAATTGTGTAATTCTACGATGGCGTCTTTTTTCAGCAACACTGAGTCAGCTGTAACTTCCTTTACGGGATCTGAAGTGAAATCCTACAGTTCGTTAGCTAAATCAAATTTTCGGCAGAATTTTTGCTGAAACGTGGATGGAACGATATGCGAGCTCTTCCCTATGGTGCACAACGCAGTTATTTTTTTTTAAATCTTGACTTGTTTCCTTCATTACGGCATTTTTTTCTGAGTTTAGTAAGGCGACAATGAGAAGGTAGGCCTGCATCGGATCATTGTCTTGATAGGAAACCCATATTTCTCGGGCAGTTCTGACCATCAAATGGTAGCATTGCATTCTTCAGACTATCCTTAGTTTAGGGCCAGCCGACATGTCGCTGGGTACTGAGAAGGGAGAAATCGCCAGATGGTCCAACACACCCTCGTCTACGACACTGCTCCACCATTTCCTGACCTGCGGAATCTGACACCTTAAATGAGGTTCCCAGTTGACAGATCACTTCACAAAGTTCACAGCATCATTTCCAAGAAGGCAGAAATTCAACTCGTCACTGAGTACAATTTTGTACCTCCAGCCTACCGTCCATGTTCATCGCTTGTGGGCGGAAGCCAGTTGGGCCATCTTGCTCTGAAAGTCCAAAGACGGCTCCTTGTTGCGACATCTTCCATAATATTCGCTCGGCCCTAGCGGACGTATAGCAGTGCTTCCGCTTGCGATCGACTGAGAGAAAAACCCGAAAAAGTCGTTTTTTGGTAGATGGTGACGGGGGACAAGACGGGCCGACCAGACTTCAGAGTCTAAAAAAAGGGCAATATCGTTGTAAATTTGTTTTTGTAGCTGGGCCGTTTTCTTGATGGTTGCTCGACTCTGATGACCCTAAAAAATTTCGATGATAGCGATTTTGTAGGGATGAACTGATGAGAAACAGATTTTCTCCATACTTCGGACTGTGGGATCTAGAGAAACCTTTGAAATAAAGGTGAGGTTTTCCTCTCACGTAAAATCGTTTTGAAATTACGTAATACTTAATATTCTCACCAAAATAACAAAAACGTGCAAATACTGAGGAGAAGAAATTATAATAACGAGGAAAACAGAAAGTTTCCAAACTTTTGACGCGTCAATTCTTCAAAAAAATCGTATTTTTCAATTATGGTTTGGATTTTCAAAAATTAGGGCCACGCGTCGTATTTTGCTCTTAATTTTGTATATTATACGTGAATTTGAGGCAAATTCGTTGTTTATTGGGTTTGCTATATCAAAAACAAAAAAGTTTCCAAACTTTTGACTGCTACTGTATATCTTCCGTTATTGGTTCGACCGTAGCTGTGCACGTCATAGAATGGATTGTTTATCTTAACAGTAGCAAACAACAAGTTAATAAAAGTAAACCCCGCCTGGAGTTATCATTCTCTGAGTGGATTCCACAGCCAAAATGGCCAAAATTGTTAACTCATTCGGAGATTCTCTAAAGTTCTGAAAAATTCCCCCAACTGAACATTGTTATTCCCGTGTCTCAAAACCTACTCAATGCTTGAAAATATGAAAAACGAGTCGAGCATCGAGTACAGATCACACACTACAAGTGACGACGGTCTCCACAAAATGTAAATGTTTCCTCCCAATAGTGTGCCTAGCCTGTTGCGGTTGTTGCCCATCAGCTGTCACTAATTAACTCTCATTTACGAACTATCAGCTATCACTATGGATCACTAATTACCAGATTCACTTGAAGGGCGTCGTCACTTGTGGTGTGTGGTCTGCAGTCTACGCGCTTCTAGTTTTTGAAACAGAGTATCTTCCTTGCAAACCCTATCAAGTATGACGAAAATCACAACTACAACCCTATCGTTCAATTTGCCCATGAACAGTAGAGCCCTGTAGAGACTATAACTCCCAAATTTTATGTTTTGGAACTGTGCCAAATTTCCACATGTAAGAGTTTGTTATTGTAAGAGCATGTTTCTCAGAACACTTGAAAGGCTAGGAATGTGATCATTCTTTGTGGCGGCCTCTAAGTACGCATTACTCCCATACATCAAGAACGTGTCACTCAAGAAGTAAACGATTTCACAGCTTGCAATTAGCTCAGTAATTTCTTCCTTGACCGATTGAGTGTACCCTTTGGGGCTTGCAGAAAAAATAGCACAATATTTTCTTTTCAGATAGTCATGGTAATGGAAAGAATTATAGCGATATTCTATGTGGGACAATACGAAACATGTACGAAGAAACTCGGAAACTCCCTTCTTTTCTTTTCAGTGAGTGCTCGTGTAGCAAGATACATAATTCAAAATGCGCCGTTGATTCATTACTGACTCTCTTCTGTGAAGCACCTCATGGGGGTATAGCTCAGTGGTAGAGCGCTCCCTTAGCACGGGAGAGGTCTGGGGTTCAATTCTCACGCATTACACCTCATTTTATTCGTTGGTAATGGTCCGTTAAATAGATAGTACTGAAGCAACTTTC